AATTCCCCCACCAATCTAAGCCATTTGGTGTTTGGGATTTTGGGGTCGGAGAAAGCATGGCACCACCGGAAACCCTACGTAGAGTCGTGGTGGCGGCCGAACGCCACCTTAGGGTTCCTCTTGTTGGATAAACCCCCGGAGGGGGAGCTCCTGCCGTGGTCTCCTGCCTCTCCTCCTTATCGGGTGTCTGACAATATAAGTCGGGTGATAGAAGAAACTAACCATGTGGATTCACGTGTGGCCCGGATGGTCCACGGCATCATGGAGACCGTCCGGGATGCGCCTCAACGGGCTAAAGGGATGCCGCTGAGGTGGGTCGTGATGGGGGACGACGACTCGATTTTCTTGGTGGATAATTTGGTGGATCTTCTTGTTCAATATGACCACACTAAGTACTACTACATTGGGGGGAATTCTGAGTTCATTCCTTCAAATTATCACTTCTCCTTCAAGAACGCCTTTGGGGGAGCTGGAATTGTGTTGAGCTTTCCTTTGGCCATGGCCATGGCGGATGGCATCATGGATTGCCTCAAGAGGTATTCCTACCTCCATAGTTCTGATAATACTACTGCCTTTTGCATTGCTGATCTTGGGGTTAATCTCACTCCTCACCAAGGTTTTCACCAGGTATATATCTGTATTGAATATTAACCTTAAAAACATCTAAAGTTTAAACACTTAATTTTGGTCAAAAGGCCGACTGGGCAGTCTAATTGGTGCTTAGTCGATGCCTAATCAACCTAGGCGGCCTAGTCGTCGGCAGCTTAGACCACTAGATATGCTAGGTAGCCGCCGCCTAAAGTCGCGCAGATTAATCGGCTTCTAGGCAGGATTTTTGCATGGGGACATATTGATTAATCCTATTATATTACAGATTGATATGCATGGTGACATATCGGGATTCTTATCATACCACCCAAACGCGCCGGTAATATCCCTTCACCACTTTGACATGGTGAACCCGATCTTCCCCTCCAAGAACAGAGCCGAATCGGCCCGACATTTCATGGCCGCCGCGAACTCCGACCAACCTCGTATGTTGCAGCAGCTGCTGTGCTTCCACCGGCCCAGAAACTGGTCGTTCTCCGTCGCCTGGGGATATTCGGCCAACATTTACGAGAAGATCATGCCGAGGAGCTATCTGCAGAACCCCATCGAAACTTTTCAGATATGGTACCCCAATCCCCGGGCGCCGAACTGGATTTTCGATGTCCGCAAACGTCCCTCGACGGACCCGTGTCTTGTCCCTCACGCTTTCTTTCTTGAGTCGTCGGTGACTGCGCGGGATGAGATTGTTACGACGTACCGGCGGTCGTGGCGGCGAAGGTTGCCAGCTTGCATCGCCGACCAGTCGGCTGATCGGATTTCCAAGATTGTAGTATACTCACCCGTCACAAACCCCGCAAAGGTATGTTTTACTATGGATTGCCGGAGGCTTTATGCATTTTTTTTTTTTTTTCATTTTTCTTAAAGAAAATATTAATGATTTAAACGATAAAATATTAATATTTGAAGATTAAAAAATAAAGAATTAATTCCATTTTTTGTCATAGATTTATAGGTGATAGTTCACTTTTAGTCATTTTTTATCAGAACATACACATTTGGTCCAAGTATTAATAGTGTCATGACCATTTTTGTCATCCGTCAACGTTAAAAAAAAAATCGTTGAAATATCATTAAATACAAAGAAATTTCAATCATGTAAGTTGACCCCGCTATATTTTTATGCTTATTTTAAAAAAATAAAAAAAATCTGTAATTGAAGACCGAAATATTTTTGTATTTAACATCATTAAAACTGTTTTGTAGATTGAGGACAAAAAATTGTATGTCACAATAATACTATGACCAAATGTTGATGTTCTGATTAAAAAGGACTAAAAATTGGTTATCACCTATAAATGTAGGACCAAAAATTGAATTAATTCAAAAATAAACAAATAAAATATATTATAATAAAATGGGAAAAGGATCAAATATGCTCATTAACTTTACCGTCCGGTCGCCGATCGTGTTTGGAGGAAGCGACCAGTTGGTTTGCCTTCTCCTTCCGCGACCGGTGACCGTCAAAGTCACCAGTGATTGTTGTAGGAAAATAGTGAAAGGGTCGCCGAAACCTTAGGTAACCTGTAATTATAGGTCACTAATCAATTTATGTGCTTTAATGCTTCAAAATAATATGCTTATGAATTTAATTATAATTTTTAAAAATTTAAGAGTTTAATTGACTGTTTAAAATTTATTTACCATTTCATTTGCATCCATATAATTTCAACTCATTTTTAACAACAACAAAATAATTTTTTTTTAAAGATTGAAAGATGGTAATTAAATTTATGGGATTGTTTGTGATCGGACTTATCATTCAATGTGGGCCTTTAACCTACCATAAAACAATTATGGAAAATCAATTACAGTTTAAATGTAATGAAGACTAAAATTAGGATTAGGAACGACAATGCAGCAATTCTCAAATTAAAATTACTTCTTAAAGGGTAATTTGCCAATCGCATATGTAACCATAATCAATTAATTTTATTGACTTTTTAAAATTTTCAAACTCCAGTATTAATAAGTCATTAATAGCCTATATATCATTAATTTCAAAGAATTCCAATTCTTTTTTTTTTTAAAGAAAAAGAATTCCAATTCTTATTCACTATCAAACAAAAAGTCTACTTGTAGTCCTTGGCCGAGTAGATGGAACATTATTCTTGTACCATAAGGTCGAAACTTTGATTCTTGCCAACACCCTTTCGGTCCATCTCACACACCGAATCTTCCAAGTGCAGTGTACATCTCCTATATAGTTTGCAAGTTTTTATACAAGAGCGAGATTTACACAAAGCCCACCCTTAAATAATATATAATTGTGTGTTTCTCTGGTCATCCAAAAAATAAGTATTAAAACTTATTCCATTTATCAAATATTTGATTCTGATTCTATAGTTGACTCCAATATTCCAACCAATTAACCTCCCCCGTCAATTTTATTTATTTTTTTATTATATATATTTATTTGTTTCATCAGATTGGTAGAAGTGAATGCTGTGATGTAACGATTGATAGTGTTGACTCCGAAAGCGCCGTCATCAAAACTAGAAGATGCATGGCAGATGACGTCATTGCTTGATTCTTGAGACATGCATGCATGCCATCTTTATATCTCTTCCAAACAAAATGTATAAACCAAGAATAAAAATTGCTCCAAAAAATTACGTTAAATATAATGTAATATTTATGTTGATTTCGATCTTTTGGTCGAGATTCATGTTAGATAAATGTTCTTTTTTTTTTAAGCAGCAAAATTTCATCTCACGAAAAAATTGTACATTTAAAATGAATATATGTAATTAGTTTTTCAAATATCTATCACCAAACAAGAAGGGGAAAAAACTTTTCTTTTTTGTTATTGTGTTAATTACTTAGGTGTTATTAAAAACACCATACAGTACGTGTTCGAAAATACAACATTGGGGGTGGTGAGTTATATGGTGTATTTTTTGGATATGTTGTGTATTTTTTTTGTGTTTTTTACACTTCATTGTGGTGTGTTTCCCTTACACTGTTAGTGTATATATGTTGTTAACACTGTTGGTGTATTCTGAAATTCTGCCGCACCACTGCACCTAAAGCCCTCGCCGCATTTGAACTTTTTCATATATATGTGTGTGCGCGCGCAATATTTAATTTAATTTTAAGAATTATATCAGATCACTGGGAAACGTTTATTATACAAATAATAATATTTATGTTATACTTTATGAACATATATTGCTAGCTTTTAATGAAACTTTAATTACGCACTTATTGTATGTTTCTTTTGTCTAACGTACGAAAATAAAATAAAATAACATATTATATTGCAAAAAGAACATAAAATTAAATGTCCAATTTAAGACATTTTTCATTAATATAATCTCAAACAAATTAAAGTATTTGAATTGAGAGATTCATGTATAATATAGTACAAGAATACAATTTACTCCATCGTACTTTCAGTCTTTCACTACATGATTCCAAAGTAGAAAGGGAATATAATTGCGACATACAATGCAACGGAATGTGAGTGTAGCATCAGGTTGAAATCAAGGTTTATTTGAGCTGTAAGGTGAGAATCATATATGCAACTAAAGAGATAATAATTAAATAATGCTTATAGACTAATGTCACAAGGTCGATTACCTCTTTTTTTTTTTTTTTTTTTTTTTTTTGTCTGTTTCGCTTGTAGAATTGTATTCTGAGTTGGTCCGTTTAGAGCTATATATGTTTCGAGTGCAACCATTGAGAAAGAATGTAGACCTGCTATTTTAGGTGAACAATTGAGCTATTTTGTCCGCACGTGCTTAACTGGAGAAAATTACAATTTTGATCATATGACTATAGGAGCTTTGTTGATTTCAGCACCTGACTTTCAAAAGTGTCAATTTAGTACCTTGACTATGCAATTTTTATCAATTTTGGTCATTTCGGTTAAATTGCCGGTCAAATTTCATCGGAAAAACTTAATCCTTCATTTAGTCTATAATATGAGGGGCAAAATCGTCTTTTGAAGTTTGGTAAAATCGTCTTTTTTTTCCGGCGAAATTTGGCCGGAGTGACCAAAATTGACAAAAATTACATACTCAATGTACTAAATTGACACTTTTAAAAGTCAGGTGCTAAAATTAACAAACCCCTATAGTCATATGATCAAAATTGAAATTTTATCTGTTTAACTGGCTAGTTTAGTAGACATTATTTGGAGAAAGAGACCAAATTAAAGTTCGAATTTCGACATCGATAGTGTGAGAATTATGCCCAAAGTAGGCAGATCCGATCCTTATGCGCACCGACATTTGACACTATATGATGAACTATATGGAATGATGTTATTTACATCCTTCCAAATATTCTGTCACGCCAGGATATGGGGTCTCTTGGAGTTAAAGATTCAACCTTTCTGCCGAAGTTTAGCTATATATACACCAATTAATTACTTGATTCAATATATTTCCATTCATCTTTCAAAAACACAAAACATGCATAATCCTTAGCTTTTCCAAAACCTTATACTCGTTTTATTTACAGTTTGTATGATCAGTAACGCAGAAGGAATCACGCAGATCACAAGAACAAACATAAACAGTACGTGAACAACCTACCATCCGCTCCCCACCACAAATTTCTATCCATTTTTGAAGAAAAAAACATCTGATCTCATTTTAACAGATATCTACAACGTAACCCAGAATGAATTTGGTCTGGTTTGACTTATGTTTTTACATGGTTTTAATTTGATTAGCTCCTTAGTTTTCCGATCGAGATGACATCTTCTCCGGCGAGTGGGAACGCTCTGGTTGTGGGCCTTAGCAAGGCTTTGCTGGTTTCCGGCGTGGTGTTCTTCTTGGGGATTGTTTTGATCCCCAACGCCCGTAATTGCCCCTCCGATTTGGCCCACGTCGGAGAATCCGAGGCCGGTGTCGCCGCCGCTGAGGCGGCGTCGACCAATATGAGCCACCTGATATTCGGGATTGTGGGGTCGGAAGGCGCGTGGCACAACCGGAAAGCTTACGTGGAGTCATGGTGGCGGCCGAACGTGACGCGCGGGCACATTTTACTGGACAAGGAGCCGACGGGGGACCTCCTGCCGTGGTCGCCGCAGTCGCCGCCGTACAAGATATCGTACAACATAACGGAAGTGGTAAACAAGACGAAGCACGTGGACGCCAGGGTGGCGCGTATGGTGCACGGGATCAGCGAGATCGTGAGGGAGGCCGGCGAGGGCGTCCGGTGGGTGGTTATGGGCGACGACGACTCCATTTTCATGGTGGATAACATTGTGGACCTCGTAGCGCAGTACGATCACACCAAATTCTTCTACATCGGCGGCCACTCGGAGTTTGTTCTGTCAAACTTTTGGTTCTCTTTTAATCAGGCGTTCGGCGGCGCCGGGATCATTTTGAGTTATCCTCTGGCGAAAGCTCTGTCGGACGACATCATGGGTTGCCTGAAAAGATACTCGCGATTCACCAGCGCCGACAAGACTACAATGTCTTGCGTTTCCGACCTGGGAGTCAACATTTCTCCTCATTCAGGTTTTCATCAGGTTAGTTTTCTCGTTTCTTTTTGGGGGTTATTTTCATCAATTTTTCACTCTCCATTATTCATTTTCAAATTATATATATATATATATATATATAGTATTTTCGTATTTTGATTATATTTCGTCAATTTTCCATTTTTCTAATAAAATGACATACCTTAGCTTTATGAGTGGGCAGAACTGGCATTTGGCATTGTCTTGCATACTATATTATAATTTAGTATCGATCTATACGGACTCTGTAATATTTGTCAATATAAACTTTGTTACAATGTAGTGATTGTCCATATAAACAGATCTAATGAAGTATTGTGCTATGTGACCTCCCATTTGAAAGAGTCGCAACCATCAGCTCGACTATAAGGTCTGTTTTTAAAATTTAAAATGAAAAATATTTTTAAATGTGTGCTAGTAAAATAACAAAATTTTAAAGGAGAAATGTATAAGTAAATGTGTGCATTTTTATTTTTTTAAAAAAATATTACAATTTGCTATTCCTCCAATTTTTTTTCCCCAGTTTTTCATTTTGAAAAGGGTAGTATGATTTTCTATCTTTTCAATTCTCCTCCGAAATTTTCATTTTTCATTTTCCAATTCTCCAACATTTATATTCGTATACAAGAAATTCCCTTAATTTTTATTTTTTGTTTTTCTATTTCTTTAGTTTTTTCTCTTCCAATTATATATTTATTCATTTTTTTTGATTCTCCGATTAGAAAAATGTATCATGAACGTACGTGTATTGTTTTTGTTTTTATTTATCTATTTTTTTTAAAAAAAAAAAAAGGAAGAATTTTTCGAGTTAGTAAGTGATAGTGTTTACTGTTTAGTGTGGTGATTAAGTTTTTGTTTGGATGTCATTTTCGTTTTTTGGTGTTATTGTTGTTGCAGATGGACATGCGTGGTGACGTGTCAGGGTTTCTGTCGTACCACCCAAACGTGCCGTTAATGTCGCTCCACCACTTCGACATGGCGGATCCGATTTTTCCGTTCACGGACAGGGCGGAGTCGGCGCGGCGGCTAATGAAGCCGGCGGAGTTGGACCAGACGAGGATTCTGCAGCAGGCGATATGTTACGAGCGGCGGTTGCGGTGGTCGTTCTCCGTCTCGTGGGGATACTCCGCGCAGATCTACGAGCGGATAATGCCGCGGAGCCACCTGCAGAATCCGATCGAGACGTTCGTGAAGTGGAGGGAGAGCAGCGCGCCGCCGTTCTGGATGTTCGACGTGCGGCGGCGCTCCGGCGACCCCTGCGAGGCGCCGCATTTCTTCTTCTTCAAGACGGTGAAGAAGCTGGCGCCGCCGCGGGACGAGATCGTGACGACGTATCACCGGTCGTGGAAACGGGGGATGGGGCCGTGTTCGGTCGGAGGGAACCGCTCCGCCGACCAGATTTCTAAGATTCAGGTCTTCTCTCCGGCGGAAAGGCGGTTGCGGGTAATTTCCATTTTTTTTTTGGTTGTTGATTTTGCATATACGTCAACCATGCACACAACTACACAAGTACATACTTCCAATGACATGTTGCCTAATAGTTTGTCAAAAGTCAAAATGTCATTTATGATTTTGAGTGTCACAAAATCCTAAATTAGTACTATAGTCAACCTTAAATTAAGTAAATGAATAGACATCCTAACATCACCCATAAATAAAAGGGCAAAACTTGTATGAAACAGTCTCACGAGCCGTGAGAAGGTCCATGTCGAATCTTTGATTAATGGGTCAAATTTTTGATTAATGAACCGGATCTTTGACCTCATTAATCAAAGATTTGACCCTTAAGAAGTCCAGACAAGTTGGTTGGACTATTGACTTGATAACTACAAAATTACAAGTTACAAGTTCTAGTGAGAGTGGTCTATTGACCTTATTAGTTTGAGATGGTCAGCTATAGACAACATGTGCTAGTTTACATTGATTAAGGTTACAAGATAGAATTTACCCAGTGCACATCCTCGAATAGTGACAGTGTGTTTCCCTCGTCAGGGTAGCCAAGTTAAAACAGTCTATTGACATTCTTGATTTGAACTCGACTAGTTTACTTCCTTTGCTAGTCAAGATCACAAGACGGGTAAAGCATGATTCTCGTATCAGAAGATTACGAATACACTCTTTTGTTTGAACCCGGTACCAACTAGTATCAATCACCTAAATATATGACTATAAAGTTGTACTTTTGGATAATAATGCGTATGTAAATATGTTTGGTTTCAGAATGATAGAAGTGAATGCTGTAGCATCGAACAAGTGAGCAAAACCCGTGCGACGATAAAGTTAAGGAGTTGCAAGATAGACGAGGTGATTGCTTGAGGAACAAAGGATATATATATATACACGTACTATAAGTTTGCTTATATCTTTTATACTCTTAACATTAAGTACAAATTTAGGACTTTTGTGCTTCACTAGTGTACTACAATTAAGGGGAAAGTGTTCTTTTGTTCCTATTGTTTTGAGAGTTTTACACTTTTACTATGGTGCCTAATGTAAAGTATAATCATGTATACATTGTATGTATATCAAGTTATACCATTAACACCAGTATTGATAGTACCCGAGTAATAATTAAAAGAAAATAGTATGTATAATTGTACTCTGGTACTATCTACACTTTTAATTAGTATGTATAATTGTACTCTGGTACTATCTACACTTGTGCCGATAGACATCAACACTATAGAAAATCACTTTATTTTGAATACTCATGTTTAATAAGGTATAGTAGGATAAGGTAAATACTAACAATAACATTCCAAACTATATCTCTCGACTATCAATTAAGGCACATTCCACAATTAACTTCCTCCACCGAGTTTTCAAGGCAGGAATAGTGGAGTTCTCGGGATTGGGGTATAATCCATTTGAAAAAGGAAGAAATTTGAAAAAGTTTGAATTTTGATCCCAAAACAATCATAAAAAAGTTATTCTAATACAGGATTCCTAAGTATGCCACTTATGAACTGCAAATTTAACATTTAAGTATTTAACAATCAATCTCCAGAGACCTAAGTTTCTGTAATGTAATGTCAACTAATTACCAGACATCCATTAATGGAAGAACTAAAACGTTTCACCTGAGAACTCACTCTAGCTTTCGGTTTCTTCCGCCTTTTGAATCCCTATCCAGCGTGCGTAATCGACCCACCTGCGAAGCGATTCAGAATACGATGCTTAGAGAACAATGGCGTGCCATGAAATGGAGAAGCGGTACTGGCATTCAAGAAGGGAGTCGAAAAAACTTACAATAATGAACCCAAGAAGGTGTTGCCTGTCCGAACAGCAAAGCACAGCGCGCTCAGAACCAACTTGTGTTGGTGCAGCAGAGGCTCTAGCATCCGCTGTTCAATAATCCCCGCCAACACTTGGTACCTGTTGCAGACAAAACTTCGTTTAGAGGAACCTGGATGCAGGAATTCTCGAGCGATGAGAATTAGAGAGGGCTCGTTGAATGTTATTAGTGACAAGTTACAAAAAAAAGACTGTAACTTGACAACCCGTAGCAATTATATATATATTTTTTGTCAGGCCATGAGGTGTCCTGAGCAGACTCTAACTGTAGGAGGCACTTTTAAGCCCGTACCATACTCAGAATAATCCTCGTTCGCACCGGGCCGACCCAATTAAGGGGCAAAGTGCTGGCCAGATTGATTTTTCCATACGAGAGGGGATTCAAACTCCTGACTCTCTTAAGGAACAAGAGTGCACGGCCATTCATGCCAACCAAGTTGGTTCGTAGCAATTATATTTGAGTAATAACAATATGCATCCAATCTATACGTACCGAAGGTTGCTAGAGACTGCCATGTAGACACCATATGCAAAACTAGTCGATAATACGGGTACGTTCTCAACCCCCTCTGCCGAGGACTTATCAACAGTTTTCCGTGCATTTATCACTGCATTTGTCACAAGGGTACCAACCTGAAAAGAAACCGTTAGTTCCTCCACAAAGCCCAGCAGCTTCAACTACTGTTAATCATGCAAGACCACTAGAGAAGATTTCAACTTACTCTGGGAAATAATAGAAATGAAAGGAACAAGGAACAGACAGAACCATGTGATGGAAAATAGAATCTTAGCCCCACCAAAAAGGAGGGAGGAGGAATACAAGGTTTCAATTTTAACACATTTAAGCGAGAAAAACAGAAACTTTTCGCTTTTCAAAGTTTAGCATCATATCCCCGCAGACCCCTTTCCTTCCCTCAAAGGCCAGAATAAGTCCCATTCACCTTTTATGTGTGGTTCATAGGCAGCAGTTCAGTAATAGGGTCCTAAGTAGCATATATTTATTAAAATAAAAACTTTACCAAAGAAGAAGTGGTGCCAACTGCAAAGAGCTTTGCCCCATTTCGCTGAATAAAAAAAAAAATCGAAGACATTATGAGATTCAGAACAATCAACTCTCAGAATTGTGTTATTCAGAAGAAATTTAAATTAGGGTACATATTTCTTACCGCTATAGCACCTAATCTCTGTAACAATGAATATGATATTCCAGGCAGAGCAACCTGCAGAAATACACAAGATCAGATGTTTTTATGTTTTCCTGCTCCTGGAATCAGAGGATCATAGCTGATCATTATGTTAATTACTTTATTATTTATGCAATCAAAAGCCTATTGTCTTGAAAAAACTAAAATTTATTGGGAAATAATTTACCTGGAATGCATTTTCTGGACAGTTGTAGAAGAACTTAGCAAGACGACCAGCATTAAGTGCAATAGGTGGTCGGAGAGATACAGTAGGAGCAGGAAGATAGACAAGCATAAAATCTGCAATTATGGCCATTACCTAAGCAGACCAAAGAATCATATACAAAGGGTGAGAGTAAAGTTTTGAACTACAATGCAGTGCTATTCAATCACAACAGGATATCAAATAAATGAAGAGTCTTTAAGTTTGAAATAGTTCAGGCTCCATAATTCAATAGGTACATATAAACTCCTTTAATAATTTCACAAATTCATTCACATCCAGAAAACATTGTAAACACTCTGAGCTGAGATAGTTGTCACTGCACAATGCCACAATCAATGTTGCAGAAAATAAAGCAAAATACCACCTCCATACTTGACTGGCAAGGAAAAATGTGTAGAGGAGAAATTACAGCAAATAGCTCGGGCCTTGGGTGCATTATCTTTATTTAAATTACCAACTTATTATAACAAAAACAATGAAAAAATTGAAGCAAACATGTCACACTATTATGGATAATAAATACAAGAACCATACCACATCTGCAAAAACAATTTCCAGCTCATTGAAGAAGTTTTCCCTGCGGCGTTCATACTCAGCAGCAGTCTGGACAAACAAATTAAAAAATTTAAAATGTGGGCAAACTTCACACAAAGAAACTATGCTATTTTTATGATAAAGCTTATTCCTTTTTTTTCCCCTGTTTTTAAATGCAAATATGGAGTATGATAACATTCTTTTGTCCCAAAACAACAAAAGTGATGCTAATATTGATGCCTCCCACTCAACATCTCTTTTCCCATTCATCAAAAAAGTTCAAAGTTTCCTCCTTTTCTTCTCTAAAGATTACTGAACCAGGACCAAAAGACAATCTTCTTATCCAATTCTTCCTCACAGAAATTTAGCTCTTCACTTATGTTACATAGATGATTGTCTTACCTTGAAAGATTTTGATTTCATTTTGAAGTTCAGTAACCAGTTAACAGTTTGGGTTTCATTATCAAAAATTCTCAAATTAAAAGGTTAAAAAATATCGTAATGAGAAATGAATGAATCAACGAATCATGTTTCCCTGTGAAATGACCTCTATGGTCTGGAAGCATATATTATTGTGTAAAAGTTGAAACTTGGGGGTAAAAATGTAATTTCAGGGAATATGTGGGGAGAAAAATGTAAATAGAAGTTTTGAGATTCCGAATTCAGAAAACCTTGGTAAAGATTCCGACGCCGCATTCCATTGCCACCTTAGCGAGGAAGAGATCGTCGGCTAAGAGCCGCTCCTTGAAACCTCCGAAGCCGAGCAGCCACTTAAGCCAAGCCGATTTCTCGAGCTCCAGGAACCTCAGAACTATCGATCCCGGAATCCTTCCGTTCTCGATCGCCGCCTTCAAGTCCTTAGGCAAGCTCTCGAGCGATCTCCCCGCCTCCGCCAACACCATTAACGCCTCCTTCTTATTATTGCTGCTCTGATCGCCGCCCTCCGCGTCTCCATCTCCGCCGCCTCCGCCGGAGAAGTTCCCGCCGTTGACGCCTCCGTCGTCGCCGCCGCCAGCAGCGAATGGAAGCAGCAGAAAAGTACGGCGGCTAGGGCTCAGCGAGCGATTCAAAGAGGCCGAAATGGAAGCCGGACGAGCGACGGTGGCCGGCACGGAGGCGAAAATGGCGGCGCGGTGAGTGAGGAGCCTGGGGAGAGGAGGAGAGGGAGATCGCGGCGTGGAGAGGAAGCCGGCGGCGGCGATCGACATTGCTTCTGTTGTTGTTAACGCCGCCCTTAGAGAGAGTTTGGTAGCTGGCGCGCAGCTTTGGTCTTCGCTCTAACTAGTTAACTACTTCTTTTATGCACGTTGAAGGAATGGTACCTGCTCGCATTGTGAAAGTACGTTCATTACTATATACTCCGGAACATGGATTCATGGTCTTCATTTTGAATATTCTTCTCCCAAAATTGAACCAAAATTGAATCCCTAACTTCAACGGTCCCACACTTAGTGATCTTGATTTGACGAAACATTTAGAAAGATATAAATTATAATGACTGTGTTAAATATTGATGTGTACAAAGGATCTGTTCACAGCATCTCACATTATTGTTGTTGCTGTAACTGTCAAAATTCAAACATTAATCTCTTATTCCAAATACGGAATACTACATACTAAATCAGTAAATCGAGATCGTGCCGGCATCATTTCAAATATTCTATTAGTTGATGTTTGGTTCAAAGAATTTAGATTTTCACCTTCTAAAAATTTGGTGAATTTTTTTCAAAAACAAAAAATTGAAGAAATGAGAACAACCGTTTTGAATGGGTTTGATCAAGATTTAATTAAATTAGTTTTATTCTAAGTAAGGTGAATATTAATGCAATATGTAAAAAGGAAATTTATTAAAATAATAAGATTTTTATAAATCTGATGGATCATATTTGTCTAATAAAATTTGACGTCTACATGAACCAAATAAAACAAACACAATAAGTTTACTTGTACATTTCCATAATTTGAAAGAAATAGATAATAAAAATTTGAACTAAATACAACGATAACATTTCAAAGTTTATATTGTAAAAGACTAAAAGGTTGTGTTATAATCTAAATCAAATGTTCTACAATATGTTTCATAAGCTTTGTTTTGTTAACAATTTTAGGGTGTAGCAGGACATAATTGGTGATTGATAGTATTAATACACACGTAGACTAGTAGCTAAATCGATCGCCCTAGCTTAGTGTTCGATGGATTAACGATTGAGAGCCTCTAAGCAATGATCTGTTATATCATCGGTCAAAAAGTTCCCCCAGCCGTAATAAATGCGCGTATTTATAAACGAGGAGGCGAGGAACACGGCCCGGGCAACTGGCATGGCCACCACGTGGCATATACGTGTCCTTACGCACATTAAAGCCCTGTCGATGCCTAATGACGACACGTAAGGCTGGGCAGGGCCGAAGTCCTGAGCGGCTAGGTAGAGCTTGGGCAGAACAACGGTCAGGGAAAATGTTGGTCAGGAAATAAAGGTGACGCTCGGACCGTTGGTATCGCTCGGGACATAATGGGAAAAGGTCAGCGGTCAAAGTCCGACCGAGTGTATAACCTATCATTGGTGCTCCTTAAGTTTGAGATTCAAACTTAAAAGTAGAATTTTGAACTATAAATATATTTTAATTAGTACACACCTTTCAATAATGGAGACAAGTTTTCTTTGTAAGAAAAAAAACATTATTCATATTTAAAGGTCAAGTAACTAAGAGCATCCATATCAATGCATTTTTTGTGGGGTCCAATGTGATGATGGGGAGGTGAGAGAAGAATGAGAGTGTGTGTGTGTGTGTTTTTTTTTTTTTTTTTTTGAAAATAGGGAGTGTGTTTTTAATTCATGCAAGTGAATGATTTTTGTGGGTCTTAATGAGAGAGAAAAAAAATAGCTGCGGTGTGTGTTTTGCGTGCAGTGCACGTGTGTATGTTCTGCATGCAGTGCACGCGCCCGCTGACGTGTTAACTATTTGTGTCAGATCTCAAAAAAAAAAAAAAATTCCTTATATTTCTCTATTTTCTCTTTTCTATGTATATCCTAAAAAATCGTGTAAAAATTTATACTATGCTATAATCTAATTTTAGACTCGACACACAATATATTATGTTTACTAACGTACGCGTGTTGTAATATTGTTTGTCACTTGTCACGTGTACTATGTAGTATAGTACTATGTGTGTTTTAATACCAAAATAAACGTTGAATTTGACCCCTCAAGTTTTGAAACAATTGAACATTCATCCCTACATTTATCACCTAGCCTTGAAGATAACTTTACAAAGGAAAAAATAAATTTTCTTTTTGTTTATGAATTATAAAGAAGTAACAATTTTTTTTGTATTTTAATCATGATCGTTGTCACTTTTCGTCATTTAATTGTTTGTAAAATGACTTATTAAACTAACCCTATTCCTGTAAATAATATATTTACTAAGGGATATGAAAGATGGCATGAATGCAAATATTGTTTTATATTTCTTCTATGCCATGTGACTAGTAAATTTGCAAGATTTGTAAATTTGTTAGCCAACTTGCTTGACAGATTTTCTAGGAAAGATGCCGGCAAGTTTACCTTTTTTTGTTACTATTATTTTATTATTAAATTTATAATATATGAAAATGAGATTCATTTAAAAGTGAAAGAGATTTGTAGAGATGTAGAACAAATAATGGAGAATTTGTAAATTTGATGATGTGAAAATAGACTCATTTTACAAAGTAAGAGAGATTTGTCGTGATAAAGATAGCCTTAATTCTTTTGAATTACTTCCATACAATTTTAAAAGTAAAAGTGTCATTTTTTTAAAAAAATAATAATATTCATAGATATTTTGTTTTCACTCGACACAAAGATAATTACTCATACCATCAAACATGCAAAAAGAAACTCGTAATTATTGTCTAATAATGTGTTTTTGGTAAACTACTTATATATAATAATAATTATAATAATAATAATAATAATAATAATAATAATTCATAAAAAAATACAATAGGAGTAAACCATGATCTTTTCCCACTATTAACTTCTCATAACACTTCATACAAGCAATATTATGAAGATTTTAATATTAGAAAATGTCACTATCGTGCATAGTTTGTTTTTTAATCAAAATAATAAATTTTACATATAATGCATTTGTTAACAAATTTCAACTATCCAACTTGAAAGTGAAATGTGAGCATATATATGGTGATGGCGTCTACTATTTCATTAGTAGTGGAATTAGTTGAACACATTAAAACGTTTGTATTTCTTATATTTTTATTTTATTTTACGTATTGCAATAGTATCTACATATTTTGAGGAGAAATTAATTAAATTTTGGTCGAGCCTTATTTAAAAATACTCAATTAAGCAAACATCTTTCGATATTTTAATATGTTTTAATATAAATATATAATAGTGGGATCCAAGCCTCAGTAGTGGCACTTATATGTAGGTATTTCCTTTTGCTTATGTAAAAATATATATAATCATTTAAAAATAAAATAAAAAAAAATCATCTTTTTAATCATTTACCTCTTACTTTCAAAAATAAAAATAAAAAATCATTTACCTCTTAATCTTTTTAGAATACAACGTTCTGCTTACGGAGTATACAATACACCAATAATATTACTTTTCACCCATCCCAACATATATTTGCCTAAAAAAAGAGAAATTTCTTCGCCTCCAAAACTCACACCCTAACTTAATAGAATAGTGAAGGGATTGTTCTCAAAAAAAAAAAAAAAAAAAGAAGAAAAAAAAAAAAGAATAGTGAAGGGATTTAACCTATCTGCTAAGTCAATGGGTTATCATGACTTACATTCTTCCACATGCTACTTTATTCCACATACTCTGTCGGACCAGGGTATGGGAAACCCTATGGAGAAGAAGAATAGTGAAGGGATAAATCAACAGTCTATTATGTGAGAGGACTAGTGTTTGGTGTCTACAAATAACCTCCCATTATGTGGTAGAAAGAAACCCATCACAGTGGGAAAAGTGTTCGGTACCCACAAGCAAGGTTGAAAAAGTCGCTAGGCACCCTCTAGGCGCCTGGGGACTGCCTAGGGCGCTTAGAGCGCCAAGATGGCCGACCGCCTAGGCCCGATTTTTGCAACACTGCCCACAAGAAACTCATCATATTGGGTGTAAATGTTATATTGCAATTATCAAGACTCTGATTATATTATCATTACCACCCAAGAACTAATTAAGTTGGCCGTGGGAACATCTCAACATATACTTGTGCAAATGTAAAATGGGTTTATATAGTTTAGTTGTTTTATCACATAGTACGCCATGAGACATCCATCATCTATGCATTGATTGGTTGTCAACAAGGAGAAAAGGTTAACAATGAAGAAAAGCAAAATAATGTTAGAGAGGAATTGGTGCCCCACAGGAGAAGTCTATCCACCACTAAAGATGCACCCAAGATAGAGAGGTCACACATGGCAATAATCCATTGGGGAAAATATCCTTTTTGGGATAAGAAAATGGATTGCATTTCTATGAATCACCTATTTCCCCCCCTTTGCACACTTTTTAACTAACCAAACACCCCTCCCCCCAAACTCTTTCTCCACAACACACAAACAACACAAGAGTGATCAAGAACAACTCCGAGGCTATGGCATCCATGACAGTGTCACCTGCATTCCTCCCCGCCGTCGCCAAGGCTCCCACCGCCGGCCGCCGTGGGGCGTTCACCGTCAGGGCCTCGAAGGCGTCTGAGGGCGAAACCGCCATGGCAAAGACCGGGGAAGAGAGCAGCAACGGGAGGAGGGAGTTGGTTTTTGGCGTTGCCATGGCGGCGGCGTGCTCCATCGCCAAGATTGCCATGGCGGACGAGCCGAAGAGAGGGACTCTGGAGGCCAAGAAGAAGTATGGACCTATCTGTGTGACAATGCCCACTGCCAAGATTTGCCACAAGTGAGAAACCAAGAAACCTACCTTTGCTTCTGTCTGTAATATGTTGTAATTGGTTTTAATGTAAAACCTTGTTTTCTAATCTATTCTCTTCTCCCCTGCTTTGTTTATACTCCAACCATACTTGCCTAAATTGAAGCACAAACTGTTTTTTCTACGCTAAAATTAAAACCAAGTAATAGAGAAAGGAAGATAACGAAAAGACCTTTTATTGAGCAAAATCCAGATAAATTATGTATTCCATTCAAGCTAAAGAGCAGCAGTAATGCAGTCACTATATAAAACACACACACACACACACACAAAACAGAAAGAAAGCATAATGAAAAAAACACGAATGGAAGAAGTGAGTGCAGGTTCTGCGTACTTGCATGGTTTGTTAGATAATGTAGGCCAAGACTCTACATTGAGAGAGCTGACAA